TAATTTTCATATCCCAACTGTTAGGCATATTAGTTCTTTCCAGTTTTTAACAACTATATAGAAAGCATGTATTAATACGTGACAGATCTTTCTTTTTTTTACAGCGTAACCCGTATAACCCCTGCATCTTTAAAAAGTTTTTATTTATATTTTCTGCTTCTTATACTGTCATAATTATCCCAGGTATCCTTGTCCCCCTTGTCCTCCCCAAAGAGTTGTCCCATATGACAAATAGTATCTTTTAAAGAGAAAGAAAATCAGCTCAACTGATCATAGAAAAATTCTGAAAACATATGCAATATGTAATATCTGTTGATCTCCCACCTCGATGAAGGGGTGGGTACAAATAAGTCTTAATTTTCCCCTTTTAATAACCTTAGGATATAGCTCTTTAATAGGATCATTGAATAGAAGGTACACGTGTGTGTGTGTGTGTGTGTGTGTGTGTGTGTGTGTGAGTGAGAGAGAGAGACAGAGAGAGAGAGACAGTCATTCCCCAATAGATAAGTAATCAAAGGATATGAACAAACAGCTCTCTGCAAAGTGTTAAGAACCACATGAAAAAATGCTTGAAATTACTAATAATGGTGAAAATACATATCAAAATAACCCTGAGATTTGCAAAACGGCAAAAATGACAAAACATGGCAATAGTCAATGTTGGAAGGGTTGTGGAATGATAGGCACACTAATATACTGTTGGTGGAGCTATAAAATGGTAAAATAGAAAGCAATTTGGAATTATTTTTCAGTTGAGGAAACTGAGGGGGAGGAAGGTTACAAATGTAACTTTGCCCAAGTTTATACAGGTAGTAACATTCAAATTTGAACCTAGGTCCTCTGATTCCAGAGTCAGTACTCTTTCTACTCTTATAGATTGTCTCCATTCACAAAGAATGTGAGATCTTTGAGGGCAGGTCTTGTTTGTTTTTTGTCTTTGTGTTACTACTGCTTAGCACATTGCCTGACACACAATAAATGCATACTGAATTGAACTGAGAAAGGTAGACAGGCAAAGGATTTTGCCAGTGGCTCTGCTATACTGCCCAAGAGATCAAAATGATTGTAGTCTGAATCTGGTTCTTCTTTAATCTAGTGGCTTTGGAGGCCTTAGTCATGGAGCTGCTCATTTGCAGTTTATTAGATGACTAATATGGGCTAACAAGTTAGCAACAAGAAGTCTTAAGAGTAAGATTGCAGTGGAGCAGCACCCTCACCCTCACGGATATGGAGAAGAAACCCTCGCTTGGTGTCATGCTGGGGCTTAGGGAAGGCCTGCTGTCCTTCAGCACTACTTGCTATTTGCTGAGGTATTCAATTTCACCATTAGCCCTTCATGACTTTCTTTTAAGACTTTTATGTTTATTAAAAGTAACTCCCTAAAAAGTCAGGGGTAGATAAGGTTGAACTATTAAAATGAAAAAAGGAAAAGAAAAGAAAAAACAAAAGTAAAAAATAAGTTCACAGAACCCAGGTCAAGAATCTCTGCTGTAGTCTAATCCAGTCTATTCCCCTCCTTCTATAAATGATGAAACTGAGGTATAGAGAGATTAAATGACTTACCCAAGATCACACAGGCAGCTAGTAACAGAGAAGGAATTTGAACTTAGGTCCAATGGACTCCAATTCTAGTGCCCTTTTCACTGTACCATATCTTCAATTTATGATGTGATCAATTTTATTATTACCATCATACATTATCAGACAACATGTTCTCCAAAACGACTTTGCCAATTTATATTTCCACTAACAATGTAATAGAATGCTTATTTACCGTGAGACACACAAACACTGAATTTTATAATTTCAAATTATTTTGGGGGGCAGCTAGGTGTCGCAGTGGATAGAGCACTGGCCCTGAAATCAGGAGGACCTGAGTTCAAATCCGGCCTCTGAGCAAAACACTTAACACTTACTAGCTGTGTGACCCTGGGCAAGTCACTTAACCCCAACTGCCTAAAAAAAAAATTCAAATTATTTTTGCCAATTTTATAAGAATGCCCCAGTTTTAATTTGCATTTTCCTTCTCTCTGCCCTCTTAGCTGAGAACTTTGTCTCATATTTTACTGAAAAAAATTGAGGCCATTCACTGAGAAGCCCTCTCCCCTTCTCATATTTCTCATGTGCCTTCTGTCATGGGCCTGCTCCTTGCTAAGGAAGTGACCCCATTCTATCCCATCTCCTCTGGCAGATTGCTCCCTCTATCATCCCCACTCTTTCACTTCTCTTTAATCTCCCCCTATCTACTGGCTGCTTCCCTACAGCCTATGAACATACCCATGTCTCCCTCATTCTCAAAAAAACCTTCACTTGATTCTCTCATCCCCATTAACTATCATCCCATGTCTCTTCTGCCATCTGTGGCTAAACTTGAAAAAGCTATCTACAATAGATGCTTCTACTTCCTCTCCTCTTACTCTCTTAATTCTCTATAACCTGGCATTTGACCACATCATTCAACCAAAACTGCTCTCTCAAAAATTCCCTGACTTTGAAATCCAAAGATTTCTTCTCAAATCTCATCCTTTGACCTCTCTGTAGCCTTTGACACAGTTGATCATACTCCTCTCTCTAATATTCTTAGAATTTCTGTCTCCTTTACTGGGTCTTCATTAAGTCATGTCCACAGGGCTCAGTCCTGGGCCTTCTTTTCTCCTTCTACATTACTTCACTTGGTGATCTCAGTTCTCAAGGATGTAAACTATCTATCTTCTCTATGCTAATTATTCTCCAATTTAATTAAACTTCCCTCTTACGTAATATTAAGGGCTCCATCATCCTCACATAAGACACTACATCTTCCTTCTCCATGCTTTTGCACTGATTGTCTCCCATACCAATAATGTTCTGCTTCCTCACCTCAGTCTCTTAGTTTCCCTTGCTTCCTTCAAAATTCAGCCCAAATATCACCGTCTGCTGGAGGCCTTTCCTAATACCCTGTGTCCACTCCTACTCCACACTAGTGTTTTCCCTCTGTGATCATGTCCTCTCTACTCTGTGTATATCCTTTATTATTCATAGCTGTTTGCATGCAGTCTTCCTCATTAGATTGTGAGCTCCTTGAGGTCAGGGACAGTGTTTTTGCCTTACTTTGTGTCCTCAACACTTAGCAAAGTGGTTGGCATAGAAGAGCTTAATAAATGCTTTTCAATTTAGCAAAGTAAATAGGAATGAGAAAGACTGGCATATGGTAGCATTTAACAGAGGTTTTTAAAATTGAAATGAAATGTATTCTCCTGCAGCCCAAAAGCTTAAAATTTGTTGAGAAAGTAACACCCACTTAAAACAAATACATAGTAACTTATGAACAAGTGTAAAATAACATAGCAAAAACTACATCTTGATGAAAAAAATAGACTGGTAGAAAGGAGATGATTACAGTTTAAGTAAAATTAACATGCATGAAGGCCCAAAAGATTGAATTGGCAAATTAAGACACAGAATGGAAAACAGATTGCCAGCTACTGTAGAATTATACTTCATAACAGAAGAAAATTAGATCCAAAAGACAGATTAGGGAGTCAGTTTTGTTATCTGAAACTACAACACCAAAGAGAAACATAGGGGCACAATGACATTTTATATTTAAGTTTTTGAAATTTAAAATTTCACATAAGAGGAAAAGTAGGTATACTACAGTAGATATGTGAATAGAGGGATAACTTTTTAGGTTTTCATTCACACTTGTAGTTGCTGGTCAAATGCAATGGGGTAGAAAAAGATTGACTATATGACTGGCCTACAAGGCTTTTATAATACTCCAAGCTTGGCATAGTAAGGGCTTAGACTAGGTTGGCTACTGTAGAAATGAAGGTCAGTTCTGAGAGACATCACTGAGGAAATGTGAGAGATAAAGATAAGAAAGGAATGTAAAAGATGTCAACCACAGAAGCCTAGAAAAGAAGATGAAGTAATCATTGATGGCAATGGAGAAGCTGGGGAGTGTTATCTATTTGGGAAAGGCAAGAAGCATAACTACATTTTTTCTAACACATTAGTGGATAGTTGATTATCATACCCCTTTCTTCTGCTTTTCTAAACTAAGTCAAATGACAACATACTCTGTCTATCCACACATATTTCAGACAACAGGTATAGTTAATGAATTATAGGGTCAGTGCTTGAGCTAATCTGTATATTGGAAGGGTATTTATTAATGTAAAATGCTACTAAATCCCAGAAGTTAATGCTAAGAAAAATCCTTTTCATGTTAGTGACAAAAATATGTGTAGTAATAATCACTCTACTATGGACAGGAAAGTTGTATCACAATTGCCAAATATCAAGCCAATATATGAAAGAATAAGCAGCATGTTATATTCGACAGATGACAAATATAACACAAGAAAGATTTATCTTTTTTTGGGGGGGGGGCTGGCAATGGGGTTAAGTGACTTGCCCAGGGTCACACAGCTAGTAAGTGTTATATGTCTGAGGCCAGATTTGAACTCAGGTACTCCTGAATTCAGGGCCAGTGCTCTATCCACTGCGCCACCTAGCTGCCCCAAGATTTGTCTTTTAAAGGGCTTATAATTTGACGATACAGAAATTCAAAAATCATAATCCTAGGTGAGAAGCTAGTTCAACCACAGCAATACAGTCTTGAGTAAGAACTGAATCCAGATGCATTCTCATAAATTATTTCATGAAATGTGTGAACAACAAAGAAGCTTTTACAACTCAGAAAATGTGGAAGGGTGAAGGGATCCTGATGAAGTAATACCTGATCTGTATAGTACTTCTAAGTCTGTCAAGTGGTAAAGAGTCTTCTTTTTGCCCACAAAACTTCTATTCAAAGTACACAAAATCCCAGAATGCTGTGGAACATCTCACTACAGACCTGAAGATAAAGCTTAACACAGACACAAAGTAACCAATGTAGCATTATATGAACAATGATTAAATTCCAAAACAGACCAAAAATATCAAGAAATAAATGCCTTAATGCTGGTGACAGTTACCATATCTAACCATAATTATCTAACTTTAACAAGTCATACCTGTTGCAAATTTTGCAGGTAAATTCATCAGCATTTTTCCTGGTTCTGGCTGTGGCTTCTGTGCCTGAATAAATGAGGCTAACCTCTGCTTTCTTTCTTTTTTTTCTCTCTTTTATATTCAGTTTCTGATGCACATGCTTATGATGCCTGCTCAATTGACGTCTGTATTTGAATGTCTGGTCACATAATGAACAAAGAAAGGCCCTGGCTTTCTTGTGTTTGGACATATGCATCTTCAAATCTGCTCTATACAAATAGGAAGAAAAAAACCAATAATCAAAATAGAAGAATTCATGGCTAAAATAAATTTCAACAAGAAGTGCAATTCCATTTACAGTAAAAACTGCTAAAACAAAAACCTTATGCTTTAGATGCGAGATAACAGGCCCACTAACTAGTACTTCATCCAAGCTATGAGAAGACTAATTTAATATCTAACATATTTATGCTGAACAAAATGCAATAAAAAGTTCTCCAAGATAGCTTCAAGCAATCAAAATTGAATGCTAAAATAAAGACACAACACTATACTACGCAATGCTTTTCATTCAAGAGTCTTAGAGCAATTTACAATTAGATTCGTTTTCTATGGATATTAAAACAAAAGTCTAAAGTGGCTTAATAATGATTAACAAAATAATTTATTAAAGACTGGAAGATATCTGGTCCTGCATGCTTTGTTCTAAAGACATACAATCCTGTTCCTTATCATTGATTTTTGTCTTGACCACAGAATTAAGAGTAGCAACTCAGTCTGAAGAGGTAATCATGTTTAAGTAACTATCAGCTAGGTATTTCATTAACTAGTGAAGATGATCTTAAAAAGCAGACTGGCAATGAACCATCATGCTCATTTGCATTTCTACTAAAATTATACAATGAGCAGCAGTTTCAGGTTAACCAAAGATATAGGGAGTAGCATCACTCCTGTGATATTTTCCTTTCACTGGGAACACACCTAGACAAAGAATAAAAATGGGCTATATGATGTTGTTAGACTCCTAGGTAGAGAGGGACAACATTCCTGGTCTGTTGGACAATTATACAATATCATGTTGTACTAAATCATGCAATACTACTACAACTTCCTAAAATGAAGAGTAGGCAAGATAATTTGTTTATGTGAAGGATTACTTTCTAAAGTTCAAAAATTGCTTTAAATAGCTAATCCTGAAAAACTGAAAATTCAAAATCTTTATATTAATTGGTCTTTTAAATAACATACAATATTGGCACTCCCACACTGTGGAGTGTGCCAAATGATTAGAAAGAAAAAGAAAAATGAGGGTAATAAAATGCCTTTAATCTCTGGAAAAACCCTGAAATGAAAGTCCAGAGTAATGCCCTTAGAAATGGATGAGAAGGTAGCTTCTGAAAATTAAATGATTAAATGAGTATATGAATCATTTAAATGGTTTTCAGGGTTTCCCAAAGATCAGAGAAATTTTTCTGGAGAAATTATATTGTCATCATAGAAAAGAATATAAAAGACTCTGTGATACCACACATGCTATCAGATGTAATCTACATGATCTGAAATACAACTATAGTAACTATACCAAACATTTCTTAGATTTTACCAAAAATAAGGTGACTTACACTAAATTCTTTGCATTATTAGAGGATTCAGAATATTGTCAATCTACCTATAAAAACATACTAACCAAAAGGCAGGTTACTAATTTGATTTTTTTTAAAAGCTCTAGTTTTTATTTTATCCTAAATTTAGTCTGTATTTTGTTTAAAACAACAAAAACCTCTTTTACCAGGATTCCTAGTATACTACCATTTCCTTCTACTACTCTACTTTCAATTTCCCCACCTGCTCTTAACCCTTGAAATTTCAAACAAATTAGTTTTGTAAGAGAGTTGTGATAAAGGTTACCTACATTCTGAAGAACTTTTTTTCACACTCAGTACATGGATGTGAGTTGGCATTATAGTCATGGGTACTACTCAGATGTTTGTGGACCTTAGGCCAATCGCTATCTGTTTTAAAGATTTAAAAAACAAAAACAAAAAGAAATATATGTATTTAGAGGAACTATTAAATTATATTTTTGGCATATTTTAACATTAGTAGCTACCAGAAAATTCTTTTATTGTGACTATATACAGTACATGTACTGCAAGTATAATTTCAAAATATATTATAGAATTATCTCCACTAAAGTTCTCCTTGCATGATACATTATGGCATAGAGTGGATTCTGAATTCTCAAAGCCTATGCCAGTGCGAGGGGCAAATTCTAGGAGCTTCTAAGAAGGAAGAAAATCTTCAAATACGGTATTGGTAATTATTTTGTATGTCTTGTTTAAACACTACCCTGGCTGAGTTCAACGAGATCACCAAGAAACTGGTCACCAGATGAAGTTTTTAGTAACAATTCATGAAAAGTGCCCGAGACATGAAGGGGCTGTAATTTACAATGAGAGAGGAAATCAAATCACCAATCTTTCCTGATGTATTTACACAGATACATCACTAGGTACCAAATAGTCTAGTGCTATCAACAATAAAGTGTAGTTCAAGCAACAAAGCATCATAAATGCAGCTTCTAATGCTAGCAAAGCCTCTCCCCTTAAGTCTCCATGATGTCATCAGCAATCTTTCTTGCACATCAGCCTTGCTCCTCTATTTCGCTGTTCTGCTTACCTTCAATCCGTGCTTCTCTTTTAGGAGAGTAGTTCACTTCATCCAGAAATGATCACTAATACATACAAAAGAACTGTGGTTTGTTCTCAGTGTCTTCTGGGTGGTCTGTGGCTAATCTCTTAAGGTAATAGCGTGACAATGTCTGTATTTTTGTTCCTGGCAAATTTGCTGATAGGAACTTTTTAACAAATTACAAACTCCAAAATATTCATCCAAAAGTTACATTCTCATTCACTCCAGTGAAATCATAGAATCATATCTCTAGAGCTGGAAAAGATCTCAAAAGCTAACAAATTCTTTTGGGAAACTGATAGTTACGAGCAGTCAGCAGGGTTTGTTTGGTTTTTTGTTTGTTTGTTTTTTTGCCCAACATGAACTACTACAGTAAAAGAAAAACACTAACTTGACAGAAACATCAAGAAGGAAGAAACATTACTAGAAACTGTAAATAAACTTTCTCAAAACATAAAAGAATTTGTTTGGGGATTTTTGATTTAACCTTGTCCTTGAGCTCTGATAGTCCTTGAGTAAAGTTGGCATAGCAATCACTGCACGTAAATCGACCAAGTATATCTATTTACCATATAAACTTACTGCTATGGAATTTATATTTTTGAGTTTGATCACCTTAAAAAAACAAAAAGAAACTTGAAAACATTTTTTACAATTTAAATAAGAATTTACTATATTTCTTAAAGAAAAAGACAGACCTAACAACTCAATAATACTTGTCTATGACAAGATCTAAAAATATATAGAAAAAAGTGCACAAAGCTGAACAGTGACAGTGGCATCACTGAATTAAAAGTACAAATACCAGTTTACAGGTAGAGGTGAAATCTCTTTAACCAAATCCTTAATCTCAAAGAGATACATTTATTGTAAACTAAATAAAAAAGGTCATTAAAATGGTAAAACTAGATTTTAAACATCAAAACTTAGTTAAACAAACCCTTTATATTTTAATGTTATTTTTTTCAAGTGACTACATGTTGAACCAAAAACATGGATGTGGAGAGAATAAAATTAAAGGCATTTAAGTTGCAGAAGTTACAGATTAACGGGAGAAGAAAATGCAAACTGCACCAAAAAGTCATTTTCTACATACACATTTCCATTAGAGCTTATGTATATGAAATTGCCCTGTAATTACCACAAGCTGCAAGAAGCTGACAGTAAAATCCGGTGCCTTAGAAAACCATGGGTGTATCACTGTTAATGTCTAACACAGAGACCTCCAGGGGTTAATGATAAGCATAAGTGCTGAAAGCAACTCTTCAGAACTCACCAATAAAATCACAGTGAGGGCACTTAAACAAACCCTCATGACGGCAGGCCAAAGGGAGGTTTTCTGCTGGCTCTGTCTCAAAAAGGGCCTTGCCCTCCGGGTGCTGAAGAGCACCTTTCCTCCCACGGTGACTCTTCTTGTGCACTTTCCAGGCACTTTGGGTCATAAAAACCTTCTCACATGTTAGGCACTGGTAGCTCCTCTTCACCGGCTTATGAGATTTTAAGTGTTTCTCCATTAAGTTCCACTCAGTCACATTGAAATTACAGTAAAGACACTGGAATCCTTGATTTCCATTATGGCATTTATCATGTATTTCAAGGGCATCTTTGGATGTGAACTGCTGGTCACAAGAGGCACATAGATGTCTTTCATCACCACTTTTTAGGGAGTAAATATCTTTCAATGGTTGAGATGAGTTACTTAAGTCAGTTGTGTCTCTTTTGTGACTTCCACCCATTTCTTGTTTTGTGCCTAATTTGGGTACTTTCTGTTGCATGCCTAGAGATTTCACACTAGAGATGCGGCACAGGCCAAGAGACATTAGATGCTCAGATTGGGCTTCCTCATCTTCCTTGCTTTTTTTAGAGTCAGAGAGGTCTGGTGAATAGGACAGTGGATTAGATACCATAGAACACGGTTCCCCCAGATGGAATTGTCCAGATTCTTCTTCAAATAGTGTGTTTACATCACATGCGTTGGGTGTATGGGTACTGTCACTATGATTATCTAGATTTATGTCACAGCATTCAGGACTCATGTTATGAAGCATTCTGTACATGGGCAACAGGAAAGACATTTTCTCCAGATTCTCTTCATTCTCTTTGTTTTCTTGACTTATTTCATCTCCAATAGTGTAGGAATCATTTTCATCTGGATCTGTACTCATTTCTTGGCATTCAGAACTGCGATGGCACCCATCCTGTTTGTGAATGTTAAATACATGCGTCTTGATTTTATTTTTTATGCTGCTGGTGAACTGGCAAAGCTTACACCTGTATACCTCTACAAGAAACATTTCTACCAGACTTGCAATTTTGGCTTCAAAGCCCTCCACAGAGGAGGAAGATAGCTTGGATGTGGTGATTTCTTCAGGTAAATGCACGGTCACAGGTGGTATGTATTGATATTCAAATTTAAATTCATTCATTTTCCAAAGATAAAGCTTAGGAGGACCTACAGATAAAAAGAGAAGTTAAAAGGTGTTACACAATTTTGCAAAGTTAGCCTATTGAGGATTTAGGTAGCTGATGACATAGCCTAGGTCTCTTAAAATGTGGAGAATAACAAACGGGGCCTTCTATTGCTGTTATTAACTGTGGGCTATGAGAGACAGTAAGGCATAGTGCCACCTACTATCTGGAAAGCTGGAAAAAATGGAATATTCTACTCAATCACATTTTCCAAATAGATCAATTACCAGAGTAGAAAAGCCTTATTTATCAATATGGAGACATTATCTTTTAATCTCTATTTTTTAATAAAAAAAAACTTCTTTGAAAGAGGTTGCATAAAACATGAAATTCAATTCTAGTGAATATTTTAATAAATCTTATTCATTTTTACATCATTTTCATTTCTAAATATATCTTGTCACTCTTCCTTCCCCAGACAACCATCCTTAGTGACACAGGAAAAAAAAAAGTAATTCAGCCAAATTAACCAAGCCATCACCCAAGCCTGCCAGTACACTCAGCACCCCTCATATCTGCAAAGAAAGTGTATTTTCTTCTCCCTTGTACAGAGTTTCAAACTTGAGCATTTCAATTACATAGTATCCATTTTCTTTCTTCTTGTTCTTTCTATTTACATTGTTGTCTCAAGAGAACACTTATTAAGTTCTTACCATATGTAGATTGCCAGGTACAAAGACAAAACTCAAACAATCTATTCCTCTAGGAACTTATAGTCGACTGGGCAGAAACAATGTGTTTACAAATAAATATAAAGTCATTTCAAAAAGAGGCAAGTAAAAATACTCAGGGGGGGAGGGAAAGGTGTGCAAATCCGGAAAGGCTTCCTAAAAGGTGGCACCAAAACTGTGCTTTGAAAGATATGGAGACTTTAAGAAGCAGAAGTGGAAAGGGAATGTTTTATAGATGTGGAAGACCACTTCAGCAAAGGCATAGACAAGAGATGGCACAAAGTTGTGTATAGGGAATAATAGCTAGATCAGTTTGACTAGAACTGAGAGTGCACGAAGATCAAATAATATGAAATAATACTGGAAAGGTAAGGGGCAGCCAGACTGTATTGGGCTTTAAATGCCCACCTTAAACAGTTTATTTTTTACCTCTGGAAGCAACAGGGAGCCATGAAACATTCTTGACATGCTTAAGTGTATATTTTAGAAACATCAGTTTGAGTACAGATTGAAGCATATTTTTAAACTTTATTTTTCATGTGTGTTTTCTTTTGCAACATGACTAATATGGAAACGTTTTGCATGACTTCACATGTACCACAAATATTATACTGCTTGCCTTCACAAGAGGTGAGGAAGGAGATAATTTGGAACTCAAAATTTTAAAAAGTGAATGTTAAAAAATTTTACATGTAATTGGGAAAAATTTAATGAATAAAAATATTTAAAAATACCAATTTGGTAGCTGTGTGGAAGATGGAATGGAATAGTGGAAACAATTTAATTAAGAAATATTTCAATGAGCCAAGAAAGAGGGGTCTGGAAGCAGCTAGGTGGCACAGTGGATAAAGCACCAGCCCTAGGGTCAGGAGGTCCTGAATTCAAATCCACCTCTGACACATAATACTTAGTGGCTGTGTGACTCTGGGCAAGTCACTTAACCCCAAAAGCCTCACAAAAAAAAAGAAGAAGAAAAAGAAAGAGGGGTCTGAATTAAGGTAGAGGTTTTATGAGTAGATAGGCAGCGTAAGATAACAGAAATGTTGTGGAGACAGGACTGATAAAACTTGGAAACTGATTGGATGTTAGGGCCGAGAAAGAGGAAGAGTCAAGAACGACGCCAATATTGTAAACCTGGATAATATAGTCATCCATTCTGAATACCATAGGGCATTTGGAATCAGAGATCATACATCCCCTTCCAGCGTGAATTAACCAATTCAAGCTGGAACTCCCTCTGAAGCTTGTTTGGCCAGGATGTGCAAACTGGCATAAAGTACCTCTAGCTAGCCCTAGACCATGTTCCATATCCATATATCCTAGACATGTCGCTATCTGCTCTGCTGCCATGAATGCTGTCCCCATCTCCTGCTTTCCACCTCTTGCTCTGGGAACAATAATCAAATCAATACTATAAACTGCTTCTCGAAAGTGCACGATAATGGACTGACCTATGGCTTCAATATCCATTGTTGTGACGCCCCCTCCCCATTTGAATGTAAGCTCCTAGAGGAAAGAGAGTTTCTCACTTTTTGATTCTGTATCACCAGTACCCAGCAAGTAAGTATTTTAATAAAATCTTTTTCACTCATTTATTCAGAGGGAGGGTGATCTTCGATAGAAATTGGAAAGTTTAAAGGAGAGATGTGTTTCGAGGTTTCAAGAAATATAAATTCTGTATTAGGCTGGCTTTTACTTTAGGCTACCTGGGTTCAAATCAAGGAAGCTCTGCTTACCTTAGTCAAATCACTTCATCTCTTAGGGCAGAGGTGGGGAACCTCTGGCCTTGAGGCCACATGTGGCCCTCTAGGTCCCTCAAGTTTGGCCCTTTGATGAGAGCCAAACAACCCATCTTAGGGCCTGTTTCCTTATTTGGAAAATAAGGGGGTTGTAGTAGATGACCTTTAAGGACAAGTCTAGCTCTAAAACTATGATTCTATATTGCTTTTGAGATACCGACAAGAATGACATGCAGGTGGAAATGCCAAGAGACAGCTGATAATAAGAATACAATTGAGAGTGACATAATTTGAAGTGATCTGGACAGAGAAAAATGACTGAACATAATAATTGATTCCATCAATTATTCCATCAGCTCCTTATCTGCCTAAGGAGTAAGATTTAGCCCTTGGTCCCTGACAAGAACCTCCATGTCCTGAGGAGCCCTGGCTATGCTACTTGCTTCTCTAGTCTGTTCCACTTCCATATCAGAGGCCTCCTCACCCATCCCCAGGCTTTCTAGCCCCACCCCCTTATGTTTTGTCCTCCCCTATTAGAATCTAAACTCCTTAATAGAGACTATCATGTGACCTTGGGTAAGTCACTTAATCCGAATTGCCTAAAAAATAAAAAAGAATAGAGACTGTCTTGTTTTCCTGTTTTGTATACTTAACAAGATGCCTGGAACATAGCAAGCACTTAAATGTTTTTTAACTCTCTACCTAAGTATGGGAACTGATGGGACCAATAAGAAAGAGAGAAGAAAAGCCAAGGCAGAAACCAGAGGGACTTGCCACATTTAGCGTGTGAGATGAAGATGACAATCCAGGCAAAGAGGACTGAAAAGAAATGATCAGAACCAAGACAGAGCAGTACCCACAAAAGCCAAGAATGAAGAAAATGTCCAGCAGGGATTGGTTAACAATGCCAAAAGCTACAAAAGACAAGCAGAATAAGGACCAAAAAAAGATCATTGGATTTATCAGTTAGGAGATGGGCAAAAATAAAAACAAGAAAAGAACATAGCTAAGTGTAATCTTTAAAATGTAAGCATAGGAGACAAAAGAAACCTAGAAAGGCAAATACATTTTAGCATTGGGAAGAGACTAAATGATGATTAAATGCTTATATTCTAATTTCCGCATCAGTAAAATGAAGATTTAAAAAATAGCATCTACCACACAGGGTTGTAGTAAGGATCATAAGAACTATATAAATGCTACCTATTATTATTCTTATTACAAGGTGGAGAAGAGATAACGGTCCCTTTTTAAAACCACACTACCTTCAGCGTAATAGAGGAAGTAAAGAAATACACAGGGCCTGAAATATAGCTTGGCTCCATATTATTTGTTTTATGAGAAGAAAGAGGAAGGGGAAGAGAAAGGTTTACTAGAGACAAAGAGTGGAAGAGGGATGGATTTGTTGTTTTTCATAACTGAGATGTGCCAAGACTATATACAAAAATGAAAAAAGGAATAGAAGGAGAGGGTTCCTCATGAACTATTATCTGAACTGAGAGAAAGTGGGTTGAAACACACACAAAAAAGTTTAATATAGAAAGATACTGAACTCATCAAAGTAATAGCTAGCGACAGAGACAAATATTTAGGGGAGATCTAGTCAGGGAGGAAACAGTCACAAGCAAAACAAACTGCAGAGAATTGAGTATAAAGGGGGAACAAAAAGGAGAGAAAGTACGAGTATAAAAAATCAGGAACTAGGGGCAGCTAGGTGGTGCAGTGAATAGAGCACCAGCCCTGGAGTCAGGAGGATCTGAGTTCAAATCTGGATTCAGACATATAACACTCACTAGCTGTGTAACTCCAATTACACAAGTCACAACTCCAACTGCCTCACCAAAATAATGATAATAATAATAATAATAATAATAATAAGGAACTAGAATAGGTAAAGAGAAAAAAATTGGGATGAGAAATTTAAAATATAGGTTACCAGTATGGCTCATATTCCTTTCTTTCACTACCTTCTTTGTTGTAAAGAGAGGAGTAAGAAGTAAGGAGGAGGTAAAACATAAGAATATATGATAGAGTTATGCACAATTATCAACCACAGACTCATTGGAAAAGACCCTGATGTTGGGAAAGATTGAAAGCAAAAGGAAAAGGGGACAGCAGAGGATGAGACAGAAGATAGTGTTATGGAAACAATGAACACTAACTTGGACAGACTTTGAAAGACACTGGAGGGCAGAAGGGCCTGGCATGCTATGGTCATGAAGAGTTAGACACCACCACCACAACAACAACAACAACAACAACAACAACAACAAAGGAATGGATTAGAAAGCAGAATTCAAAAATGTTGTTCACACTAACATGTGAAACAAAAAAAATTTCACAAAAAGCTAAAAGAGGCTGACATAGAATGCCATTAAACTTTAAGAGATTTTTTTGTTTTTAAAGTAAGAGTGGGAACCAGATAAGGCAACAGTAAAAAAGAGATAAGCAGGCAAACTTTGCTATGCTTAAAGGCACCTTAGATAAGGAAACTTCAATGTTTGATAAATAAGGACTAAATGGATGCATCTATGCAACCATGCCTTAAAAAAAAAAAGTTCAATGATCTGTGG